CTAGACACATTTTTAAGAAACTTGTATTTGTTATACAACTCTCAACCCTATTTTACTCATCTTACTCGCTTGCTCTGAATTTTCTGTCATTCGACAAAAAATCGCATCAAGCAATTTTTTTGGTCCGTAGAGACGAGTAAGAGGGTTTGGGAGGTAGACAACATATACAAACTGGTTAAAGAACTTGTCTAGAATTATGGAGCGAAAGATAATTGACCAATGCTGGAAAGAGATGAAATTCTCCCAAAACATGCGCAGGATATTTTGCTCTGTATATTGAAAGTTATTCTTATTACGGGATCTGTAGCGTTATGGTCAAAGACAAATATATAAAACCATATAAACGCTGAAACATGATTATCTTGCAATTGCATATTGACATACTTTTCTTGCATGTTGACATAATTTATCTTGTATGTAGCGGGTAGAAATATGTCACCATACCATACATAAGGCTAAGTGGATCAACATATTTCTTATTTTAGTTCAATCTTTACTACTTGTGCATATTGAGAAAAAACTGTATATATTGAGATTTTTTTTTTTGCCTAAAACCTTAGAATTAGAAATCCTCAGTGTAAATAGAAAACATATTTGAACACAATGAAGTTGAATAAAGTTTAACATTTCATCATTATTAGCAGGATAAATTTTTAACCAATAATTTGTTTTAAAAAGCACATATCAAAATAAATATCCAACTGAAAATTTCCTTTCTATAATTAAAGTATGATTCTGAATATTTGTTGGTTATCATTATAAAAACTTTTGAGTAATTTCCTGAAAATCACTTTCCATTCTTCATTTAAATGTACAAAAATACTTATGATTTTTATATGGATATATAATGAATTCATTCCCAGGTATTTCACGTACTTTTTTCTCTATTAATTAGTTAAAAAAGTAATTTTTTTTTCGAGTTACATGTTAATTGTTACGTCATTATTTTTACACTGAATTGTCGATGGATTATTCGGTTCTCCAGATCATGACAAGGAAGACACGACTGGTGCTTCCGGTCTGCAAGGGATGCTTACGTTTTCTCTGCTCCAAATTTGTATTACTTTCATGGAGATTATAAGATGTTCGTTATCTTGAAATCACGTTAAAGAAACTCAGAATCTATTATATTGTTGTTAGTAGAACATTTTTCTTTCAGTATTTTTTTTATTTTTTCCAGAAGCTTCTTACCTTTGCTTCTATGATATAATTACTTTGAAATTGGATTGTTAAAAGATTTTTCTATCATATTATTTAACTAGCATCTGAATATTTGTTTGCATATAAAATGAATCATGTTTTCTTCCCGTTTAACATAGAACGTCAAAATTAAATGGAATTTTTCGTCTGATCCTAATCACTATTGTATCATCTAACGAAAATATGTGAACGGCGGGCAGCTATTTTGAAGAAATATAAATTTGCTTAGAAATCTTCAGCCGCCAACAAAAAGTACTGGTGATGTTTAAAAGAAATTTTTCACTTTTTAATTACGTGTCTCACAACTCTGGATTGGTTTCTGTGAGTGTGCTTGTGATTTTTTTCATTCAGTTATTGCCCATGGCTCTCAAGTGCTTTAAAGAAAACGAAGTTTTGTAAAGTTCACAATATTTATTACTAAGAAACAGCAATTCAGCAATAAAATGATGAATTTAACCAAATATCAGGAAAACATTAAGGTTTATACATTCAACAATCAAAAAGATATGATTTAAAACTGTATAACAGAATGGTTTGCATGCAGAAGTTAACATAATACATATTACAGACCCTGCATGCTAATGAACCCACGCAAACGCTGCACGAACAGTACACGCTCGCAAACGGTTTGCACGAAACGCTGAACACTTCACACGAAACACTTGGCACGAAAAGCTCCACGGTTAACACAAAGGCTCTACAAAATGTTTTGTACAGGTTTCTCACACGCCTTGTGCACGGTTTTGGAAGGCTTTGGTTTCGATTTGAATTTCCATCTCGGAATCTCTCGTACATTATTTAAATAATTATGGATTAATTATAGATTAATTAAGAATCGCAATCTTTCACAAGTTCTATGTAAACCGATAGAAATAGTAAATGGTTAAGTTTGGATTGAATCCGCTTGTTAAAAAGTGAAATGTCTATCATCGTCTACGTGCCAGCATTTGTTTTTCGTCATAATAACCCGCTGCATGAAGTAATAATAATAAAATAGACCATCTTCATATTTACAAAAAAAAAGAAATAAATTATACATTATCGCATTATTTTATTTCGTTTTTGCAGAAATTATTTCTCCTTATTTTCACTCTTAAAATACAACCAGTATACTAAATCCGAATGATATTAATTAAAAGCAATAAAAAATTTTTTTATCCTGACTCATCAATAACCATATAAAAATTAAAACGACTTTCGGATGAATCCTACGTTTCTCAGACGATTCTTGCACTAAAGTCGCACGTTTCTCAAACGGTTCTTACAAGAAAATCGCAGCCTTCTTGCACACTCGCTTCGTGGTTTGCATGAAACGCTTTGGAGCTTACACAAAACTCTACACGGATTGCACGAAAAAGGGGCATTGGAGTCACACGCTTTTCAAAGCGCTATGTAGAGGTCTGTATTTTAATCAGATTGCACGCTTTTTTGGGGTAGTAGCACGTTTCAGGGTCTGTAAGATTACAAAACAATGACTCTTTGATGATGAATACATTTAGATTTATGATTGAACATATGTACCTTCAAGGGACAAGTTGTAGAGTATACAGAATGTATTATCAAGAAACCACAGCTGAGGTTGACACGTGCATGGCCAATTTATACCCCAAGCGGACCGGTTTCTCTCATGAAGCTAACTTGTTAACCCGTGCGGTATCCATATGACACGAAAAATTGCACTCAATGTTTCATACCGTATAAGTGGAATTTTTAGCGAGACGCAAATTTAGCGATTTGTCCTTAAAAATCAGTATTTAATTTTACCGAGAAGTAAGTTTTTCGATTTTTACCGCCAATAGAAAGATAATGGGAACTTCTAATGCGGAATTAATTGCTAGCGATATTTGATTTTAGTGACCTCAAAATCCTCTCTAATCATGCTAAAATAAAATCTTCGCTAAAATTTCTGCTTATACGGTGTTGCAGAATTTAGATACATTTCAAATTCCACAATATTTAGTTCCATTTGTTTCACAGCTGACATACATTCGAATTCAAGATAACTGACTGTGGAATCATCGAGGGGCCAAGGCTTGTGGATTTGACGGGTCACAGTTACCAAAGAATTTATATCCCCACAAAGGAAAGTCATAGTATTGAATCATTGCATCATTTGAAAATACAGGTTATCCACAAAATGGGTTCCCACGAACCAGTAAAATTTTGGTTACCGACGAACATTGATCCGATCGAAATAAAATGATTCCACAGTGTACAGTTTTGTAAATAAGAATTAAATTATACTGACTGTATTTACAGGAGAGAAGTCAACATGAGTGCTTGACCTTTCACTGACATACGCAAAAAGACAAATTAAAAACTACATTTCATGTAAAACACAAATTCTATATGAAATATTTTGATGATTTATCTCTAACTTGATATACATGTGCTAGTAGATTACAATTTGAGATATCTTTATAAAAGGATGTGTATATTATAACAGGGCCCTAATAAGCGACTAATCATGTCGTTATGCCGCCTAAAGTTTTGATTGGCGCCTAAAATTTTCCCATAAGTCGCCAAATTTTCGACCACTTTAAATTGACTTGGGGATCCTCGAATTCCAGAACTTTTAACATTTTTAACAATCTTAAGATTTCTGCAGAAACAAAAAGTAACTTTAAAAAAAATAAAAACATTTTTAGCAATGGACATGAGTTTTATTTGTCACATTCTTAGATTTTAGTTATCAAACCTCATTATATTAATTACTTTAAACTTGCCTGCCGACGAAAAATTTGCATTGGCGACTAATTTTGTTTTTATTGGGCGCCCAAATTGAGGTCACTTAGAGGCCTGAATTTATATACACATAATATTAAATATTATTACTAGTTGATAATATATATTCACTTTTTGATGGTTGGTGTATAAAACATTTATAGCATGAGCATGTATAACTTGCTCTCATACAGCTAATGCAAATTGTTATAACAACGCGAAAACATCATAAACTGAGATTATTATATTTTGCGTAATTGAATTTTGTGACGAGGTCAACGCAAAATGTAATAACCTGATACATAAAAAACACCCTTCTTTTATTACAATTTGCGTAATTACATATGCGTCGAGGTTTACACAAAATGTGATAACAAACTTTATGGATTTAAAATTACAAATTGGAGACTATTTTAAAAACCATTTCCTGATGATTAAAAATTGCTGAAAATTATATTGTATAAAAATATATACATATGTATATTCCTTACATTCTATGTCGACCTTCACACAAATTGTATGGACGCCAAATAAAGAAAAAATTACTTGCGTTTTGAGATATAAAAACTTATTCATCCAAATTCAGGGAGATGCAAGAATTGACAATAAATTACACTCTCATCTGTTTTCTTTTAAACATCTTTTTGAAAGTTAACTGATATTTCTCGATATTAACAACGTTCGCCAAGTGAAACATTAAGTGCCCATGTGCATGTCAATTTCATGGGATCTCTTCGTGTATGACGTCAGTGGGCGAGCACTGTGGAAATTAACATGGATTGCTTCGTGATTTTGATTCTAGTAGATATCATTTTTGATTTTATCTTTAAATTTATATTTTACATATAACGAAATCATGAAATACTCTCTAGAAGATAGATTTTACCAGCGACATTATAGACAATTGAAAACGTTGGATCATTTGGTATAACGGGCTGTGTTATGCATGAAATATATATTCATTGCATCATGATATTATGCCTTCTTATAATTCAACAGTAAGAATATTTTGTAACATTTAATTTCCAATTATACATGTGTGAAAAATGCATCTCAACACTTGGACTTCCAAACTTAACCAGGTCATGGATTTCACAATATTGTTTAGGTTTCATTAATTATAATCATCATGCAAACAAGTTGCCTCCGATTTCTAGAAGTAAAGAAAATTTCAAAGAAACAAATATAATGCATTTTTAACGTCAAATCAATGATTTTTTTTGCTTCATTTCTAACGCCTTGGGTCATTAGTTTCACAATTTATATGCTCATGCTTACCATGATTATGCCACCATTTGACTGCTTTATTTGAAGGAGTAAAAAAGCGTTGTGAAGATTACTTATCATATTTTTATGCTTTTTAATGCAACCGGAAGGAAGAAACCTTGAAATTTACAATTTATGTTTCCATTTTAATATTAATGCATTATACCACGATTGGTTTAGACATTTATTCCATTCAGTATAATATGTTGAAAATTGAAAGTTTTAGCACATAGGAGAATGCAAATCTGAATGACTGACGATGACGGGCAAAAAAAGAATATCAAAAGATCATCAAAGTGACTTACTTGACCTTAATATAAAAAAAATTACTTAACATCATTATCAAATATTTTATCTCAAATCGTCTTATTCTTTATACGAATTTTCTAAAAGTTTCTAAATGTACATTGGTTTGAGAATATTCCAATTTAGGGGAAGCAATGTGGAGCTTGATTCAGACGCTTCGCTCCTTATCCAAAGTATATACATGAATATAAATACCTGTATATAAATTCGAAAAAAAATTTCTCTAAAAACAAAATGACTACCAAAGATTGATAGTAATTTGAATACTTAAAAGTACAGCCATTACTTTTTTGACATGGATTTACGTCTACCAAGCCTTGGAATTGCCTTCTGTACTACCTTTCTACCAGTTGTTTTAAATAAAGCATCCTTAGCTTTACGAACAATCTGTCCAAAGTTTTCAACACTCTGATCAGTTTGAGCTAATTGTTTGAATTCATTCAGCATCTGTATTCTTTGTTCATAGCCTACTTGCTTACTTATTTCTTCAGCTTGAATCATTTGGTCAATGTGATCAACAGCTGAGAGAGGGTCGGGACTCAAAGCAATTTCTCTCAACCTTCCTTTGCACTCGGCCATTTCGTCCATCTGTGTAAATATCTTGTCAATAAGGTCATCTATATCAGCTCCAATTTCTTTCAAATATTTTTCATCTGTTATTTTTAGTCCTTTTGCTTTTTCATAATTCTGTTTTTTTTTTTCTTTGTAAGTTTCCGTTTTCTTCTCGGTGACATATTTAAAGATATATCTTCCGTTTTTGTGCTTACGCCAGTGACACTTAAATTTGCAAACCCGACAATTACCTTTAGAATCCATTGCCTTACAGCCACGTTTTTGATCATCGTCAGCAAGTGCACAGTCCTCGTGACAAGTCATATTACAATTCAGGCAATTTGTAATGTGTTTTCCAATGGGCAATTCAAGCTTTACTTGTTTTGTAACATTTGTTTCACACGTAAAATCTTTGTTACTTTCGATGTCAGTCTGATGTTTATTGAACAGATCTAACGTATTTTGTAATTCATTAAGCTTCATCAGACC